GCAAGTTCTCCAAAGTTTTGCTATAAGCTACACACAACATTCCATATATTTCTGAATATTAATACCAAAATATGACACAAACACCCGTGATTTATTCTTAATATATAAGGGAAGAGTATAGATTTCTACTTTCATGTGACCTTAAAAAGATATACTATATATTTAGTTTCCCATTCCTGATTTGCCAGAATAAAGGTTGGGAGTCTTGTTTTAGACACAGTTGGGGCTAAATTAAAAAAGCTGCATGGTGAAGTGTAGCTGGATAGGCAGCAGTTACAGTCTGCTGAGGATGGGGGGCTCACTGTGTGTGGATGCTCTGCCCTGAGTGTAGCAAACCACAGGCAGAATGCCTTGATAGATCTCAACCAGAGGGCAACATTCTTGTCAGCTCATCAGTAATTCTAACAAATTAAATGCTGCTGTCTCACTTTCAGTGGGGTTTCTTTTACTCTTTGGAAGATACTAAAGGTCTTCACAAAAGTAGTGCCAGAGAGGAACAGAGCACTGAGCTTCTGAACTGTGACTGCTAGTTCTTAGCTAGAATCACACACTCAGAAGCCTAGAAGAAAATGTCATCACTTTTATTGTCCTGATCTGTTAACAGGTATTGTCCAGTTATACTCTAGTACCTAAGCCCTATACCTACTTATTTTTGTTGGTTTGATTCACAAAAATTGTATTTAAAGTTTTGTGGTGGTATTTAGTCGTATCCATCCCAGCAACTTACTTCTCCACCTCCGCTCTGCATGACCATGTTGGTCTTTCCAACAGCCTCTTCATCTCCCTAACCGCTGTTGGGTGGAGCTTTTAAATTTCTGTGGGCAAAGATGCCGCAGTTCCCCTCATTTCAGATTTTTTTTCTCCCAAAATTCATTAGTATTCCTAATTTCATGGGAAACTTGTGTCTGTAGTATTGCTTTAACCATTTACTTTAAAGAACTTATGCAGTCTAAACTTTTCCTAACATTCAGTAAAAAGGAGGCTTTTTCTCTTCTTTTACTTTATTCTGGCTGTCTTACCTCACCTTTATTATAAGCTTCTGATGTTTTGGGTTTGTTTTTTTACATAAATATTTTGTTTTAAAAAAAAGTTTATTGTGTTGTTGCTACATACACAATTTACAGCTTATTTCAAAGCAGGTAGGACAGATACAGAATACTGTTGAAGATTTGTACAGGAAATCAAAAGAATGATGAAACTGGCTATTGCCGAGTTATATACACTCACAGTCTAAAATTACTCACTGTGGGAAAGTAATAGCAAGACAATTGCTGAATTTTCAGAAGAAAGCATACTTGGAGTATCCCTCCTGAAACGGGTTGCAACAGCTACAGAAAAAGCTTTGTCTTTATGAGCATTGAGTTGCTACAAATGTAAAAGGAACAAGATATGAGAAAATACAATGTATTTATTTTTTTTCCAGAAGTCATAAAAAAATTTACAAGCAAGAGCATATAGTGGAGAACAAATCAGCTGATGGAAGAATTTCTGTGTAATTTATACTGGACAGTTCACCAAGTGGTGAATAGGGAAAGGAGTTATATTGAGTAACAAGAACTGTATTCAGTATTGCCCAAATTAGAAATGTGTGCCTATTTCTTTAGCACTTAAAAACAGAGCTAAACTTCATGAGCTTTTTACAAGGACATGAACACGCACTTTTAGAATACAACTTCTGTTTCATTTTAGTAGAATTCCTTCTGCTGCTAATCAGCGAGCATTATACAAAATAATTTTCATTTATTTCAAACTCAATAGCACATGAAACAACAAAGATTAATTCTACGGTGTTTGGGGGCAGTAGAGGGAAGTCCTGAAAAAAAACACAACAACCCCTATGTCAAATAAGAACAGGTGGGCAAATTAAAACTTAGAAGAAGACAAATTTATTGGACAGCAGGTAGCCAGTCTTTTGGATTTTGGCTTCTACACAGCTGAAGCAATAGAACTTTGAATTATTCTCTCTAAATATAATGTAGCAATTTAATGACACCTTGAAATAGACTGATTAGGTTTTGGGAAAAGATATATATTCTGGATTTCCTAATTCCAAATTGCTTACAAATACAAACAAGCTGGAAAATAAGTCACATCTTAAAGTTACAGGCACCATTGATTTGATTATTAAAAAAAAAGTCTTGGTCTTGTTGTGGTACATATTTCCTGTGGGGCAGCAGGTAACGAAGAAACATACCATCTCCATAAAGGGGTTTTAGTCTGAATCAGACAAATAAAAAGACAGATTACTTTGTTCCACTCAGTAGTGTTTTATTTGTTAGGATAAGATGCTGCAGTTATGTGTGGTCACAGGGTTCCCAGTTCTGAAAAAGTGGTATCAGTTCCACCCTGAAGATGTAGTATCTGGAAATTTTTTTCAGAGTACAGTTGGCTGGAACACCACCACCACCCCCACCCCCCCCCACAAAGAAAAGGTAAGACAAACAAATCAGTGAAGCTACAAAAAGAGTTCCATTGTTATTCTTCCATTTGAATAATTATGGACTACTATCTACAATGTCTAATTTCTTAGAAAACTCTTATTCCAGCATTAGCATCTTCAAGGTATTAGTTTTACAGATTCATAGTACCTTTATTGATAAAGGCTTTTGTCCCGCTTTCCTCTCCTGCCTCCCAGTGAAGTGCTGTCTTCACACATACTTTACTTTGGAAATTGCTTAGTGCTACAATGTGTTCCAAAAAAGACTCAGCTAAAAGTCTTCTATTTTTAGATCTACAGGTATTTTGCTTTGTCTCCTCCTTAGTCTCTTCTCTGGTTCTTTCCCTGCAACTTCTGTGTTCTCTGCTGATTTCTAGGTAACTGACAGAGATTTTCTAGGAAACTGACAGAGATTTTCTAATCTATTTCTAGTCAGCCAGCTCCTACTAGTACTTCTTTAATATTCCACTTCAACAACCATCCCAAAATAAGTAAGATCCCAGGATTTAGAACTACATTCAGTGCTGCACAAACAATTCTGCATTTTTGTAGCCATATCGCATTCACTGACATGTTAACATAGGATGAAAAAAATAATGTTCGAGCTTTGTCTCTTAGCACAAGAGGAATTGTTCATTACTAGGCAAGCCCTGAAGAATGACAGAGGGCACTTCTCAAAGCTAACAGATAGAAAACCTCTTTTACATGGCAGTTGTACATGTCAGTGTCCTGGTTTGGGCTAAACCAGAACTAATCCTGTTCTAGTGCTTTAACTTTTCAGTCAAGTCTCCTCTAACTAACAGCACTTTCTGAAACAGCAGGCTGTTTTTCCAGACAGTGACTGCTTCTAGCAGTGATAAGGCCTGGTGTTTATAGTTCGTACTGAGGAACGGTGTGCAGAGAGGCCCTTGCTTATACTTGTTCTTATAGCGACCAAGGTCACTGCTAAATCTTGTACTCCGTGTTGGGGTGCCGGGAGTGAAAAGGGTCACAGGCCCATAAAAGGTCACACCTGCAGGGAGGAGGTGACCCAAACTGACCAACAGAGTTTTCCATCCCATATAGGTCATATTCAGTATAAAGCTGTTTTAGTTTTCTTTTCTAAACTGTAAAGTCTCCCTCCCTTGTTCTCTCTCCTTTTCCCTTTGGGGAGCGAAGAGGGGTTAGTAGAGAGCGTCTGTCATTCGTTAGTGGCCGGCCCAGCCTCAACCCGTGACAGTCAGCTTCTACATTTTTCAGATGAAACCCATGTAGGTATGAAAAGGATACATATCATAGTCATAGAATCACGGACTTGTTCGGGTTGGAAGGGACCTTTCAAAGATCATCTAAGTCCATGCCCCCTGCCATGGGCAGGGACACCTCCCACTAGACCAGGTTGCTCAAAGCCCCATCCAACCTGGCCTTGAACACCGCCAGGGAGGGGGCAGCCACAGCTTCTGCAGGCAACCTGTTCCAGTGCCTCACCACCCTCATTGTAAAAAAAATTATTCCTTATGTCCAATCTAAATCTGCCCTCTTTTCAGTTTAAAACCGTTGCCCCTTGTTCTGTCACTACAGGCCTTAGTAAAAAGTCTCTCTTATGGGCCCCCTTCAGGTGCTGGACGGCGGCTGTAAGGTCTCCGCGGAGCCTCCTCTTCTCCAGGCTGAACAACCCCAACTCTCTCAGCCTGTCCTCACCAGGGAGCTGCTCCAGCTCCCTCATCATCTTCATGGCCCTCCTCTGGACCCGCTCAAGCAGCTCCATGTCTGTCTTGTGCTGGGGGCCCCAGAGCTGGACGCAGCACTGCAGGTGGGGTCTCACCAGAGCAGAGCAGAGGGGCAGAATCACCTCCCTCGACCTGCTGCCCACACTGCTTTTGGTGCAGCCCAGGGTGCGGTTGGCTTTCTGGGCTGCGAGCGCACACTGCTGGGTCATGTCCAGATTTTCATCCACCAGCACCCCCGAGTCCTTCTCAGCAGGGCTGCTCTCAAGCCACTCATTGCCCAGCCTGTATTCATACATGGGGTTGCCCCAACCCAGGTGCAGGACTTTGCAATTGGCCTTATTGAACCTCATGATATCCTCCCATATAGGGAGAGGAAATAATGACTGTTGACTTTTTTTTAAAAAAAAAAAAAACAAACAAACCAAGATCTGGATTCAGCAACAGCAAGATGCTTTTGCATGAGCTGTCTCGTTTTCAGTTTTGACTTGGTGAAACTTTGACATTTGCATACTAATGCATTTGGATCTTGATAGTCATTAACTGAAGTCTTCTTAATTGAGAAATTCTGTGAAAGCAAGAATTCAAACATAGAAATGGAAGAGTAAATTTTATTGAGTGACGAAAAACTAATGGCATTACAGTTAGTTTCAGCTCTGCTGGAATACTGATTTTATAACTTTTTCTGTAGCAGAAAGAAAAACAACTCAATTTTTCAGACTGTTAAACAAACTAGTAACTGTTAATTTTTCTTCAAAAACTGCATAGTTGAGCAGTTGTTCAACAAATATATAAATTTCTGCAAAACCCTGAAGATAGATTTGACTTTTTTTGCTTTGAATCTGGTGGCAAGGAAATCACCTGCACTGGTCAGATTCTGAGTGCTTTTTCCCTTTTTTCCCACTCTGTAAGAAAGAATTAAAAGAAATGTTTAATTAATAAACTAGACATGGCACTTTATATCTGCAGTTATAAAGTAGTATAAATTAACAAGAAAAAAAAGTCAGGAGTTAGATTCTATATTTCTTTTAAATTATATAACTGTTATGGGACACAAACTTGTCTGAACACAAAATACTGTTATATAAATTAAAACAGTCAAGGCACTTATAGGATATATAACTGAGATGTTAACATCCAGGGATAAACACACACTGGTTTATTGCTTTTTTCTTTGTTTCTAATCCACAGATTTTGGGTTTTTTTTTTTTTTGAAAGGCATCCTTACTGTTTCAAAGACGTATTCCATAAAAAAGTGGGCCTCATGTTATCAAAGACAACACCACAAAAAGTAATAATATAAGAAAGGTTGTCCTGGTCAGCCTGCAAGATTACAGGAGTGAATAATAAAAGCAGAAACAACCCCTGCAAGGCAGATGAGACAGTTTTCCTGACAGTTTTCCTGAGACAGTTAACAAAAAGTAAAAACCCAACCAGCCAAACAAAAAAGGCCCAGGGTTATGAATTAAGCAAGAAATACAGCAAGATGTGGAAAGATAAAAAGCAACAGAATAGGTGATTCTGCAGTAATTCCTATATATAACAACAATCATTTTTTGTAATTTTTTTACTGTTATTATTTTAATCCTGTTTATTACAATTAACCACAATATGAATTTACCTTATTCAAAAATTTCTCTTTACAGAGAAGAATACTTAACATTAGCACAGGCATGGATGGCAGGGGAAAACAAACAGAAAGACTGAAGTTGTAAGTCAGAACAGTGATCTGAATGACTGAATTTCACAAGAGAGGTACTTTAGTTTCAATTACTGGTATAAGCCCTCAGCTTGTCTGTAAGGGACTGAACAAGCCAAGGATACTTGTCAACTGCTGCAAGACAATTTTAAAAAGGAACTTGCTTACTTGTGGTAAAGTGACAAGGGGAGATTACGTACAGAACCCATGTAATGCTAGCCAAAGAATTTGATGCAATCAGAAAAGATCTGTTGCTTCAGAAAGAGTAATTGTGGCTTAATGAGCCAGTTTTCACAAAATTATAGTTTTCCAACACAAACAGTGTGTTGCAACTTGGAGTAGGATAGCTTGCCGAAGACTACGTGGGTACCTTAGAAGTTTCCATTATATACTACAGGTTCTCCTTGTAACCTATGCAAAAGTCACAGCCTTTTGACAGACAAACAAAAAACTCAAGAACAAACAAAAAAACACCAACAAAATGCATCAAGTCACGCACAAGTACAAATCCTTATTTGAGAATACTGTCACTCTTTAAAAAAAGTCAGAATGTTAAGCAGCATACTATTTATGAAAAAGTTAACTAGAATTCACTAACATGAGTGGCATTATCAGCCAAGTTGAACAAACCAGCGTATGCACAGTCAGCAAGACACCAATCTTATCACTCACATTTCGACACAACTTGATGTGAATCTCCTACAAAGGTTTGGCTACAGACAGAACCAAAGAAGGAATGTGGCAAAAAAAGCCATGAAGTCTACAGTTAGTCCAGTTACACAGTTAGAAATCAACTTGTTGCCTGAAGCATGTTTAGTGACTAGCATACTTCAAGAAGTCTTGAAGTACAAAATAGGTGGTAGACCTCAATTTGCCAAAACTGTGCTTTAGTTTTGCTGCTGTTTTTTTTTTTTTCCTACAATATGAACCACTTCTTTTTTTTTTTAAACTGGAAATATTATAGTTAATAGGTCAGTTCAGAGCACATTACCTCATGATCGTCTCAGCTATGTCAAAATCAGGTAAACTTACAAACTCAGAAAATAACTACCTGATATTTTTTTAATTCTGCCTGCAGTAGTTTCACTTTGGATCTTTCTTGCTCTAATGCAGCATGAAGTATAGTTACCTAAAAACATACAGAATATGAATTTATAAAATAACCTTAACATCTGTGAGTTTATCAAGTCAATGTTGTTCTCCTTTAGTATCGTGTTGGACGAACAGATAATACATGCTGAGTTCAAGAGTGACTACCACTATCATTGTGCATAAACTTAACATACAAGCAAAATATTCTTTAATGACTTTTATTTCCCAAGCAACATTTACTGATTTACCTGTATAATGACACAGAAAAGCTATAAAGTTAGAAACTCTTCCAAATTCTGGACTCTGCATCAGTTTATTCCATAAAACACTGAACTGATATAGTATTATGCAACACAGATAAGCTTATTACATCACCCTCAAAAAATAGTACTGTGTTATATGTAAGACCTTTGGACAAGTCAAGGTCTTAGAACTAATTGTTGCTGCAGACCAAAAACAGCATAAGAGTCTTGCATGCTCTCTACTACAGTGACTTGCCACTGACATGTCTTAAGTAATTTGTAGCTCATGTGTGTTCATAAACTTGAGACTAGAAATAAAATAAAACAACCAACCAACCAGCCAAACCAAACCAAACCAACAAAAAAACCACCAAACAACAAACCAACAAAAAAACCCAAACCACCCAGGAAAGAAGCATCTTCTGAACCACCTTTCTGAGCTTCCTAGCTTGGGTTATCAGAGGATGATATTCCTAAGGTGCTGTTCCAGGCAAAATTATTTCAGGCATGCTGCGGTCTGCTGTCTTTCCAGAAACAGGTCTGACTGAGTCATACTGGAGATTTAGATTTACATAATACATGTCCATTGACATATATAGTGCAGGGCTGTGGATGAAATGTGACTTTTTGCTTCAAACAAGTTTTTATTTCAGCTTCTTCCCTCCACTGCCTCTATCACTGCCTTAAATAAATAGCATCTTCGAAATACCCATGAAATTTTACATTTAGAAATCCTTGCTTACCTGTACAGTCAATTCATTTTTGATAGTTTGAGATTCATCAACCTGTAGGAGTATTTCTGCTTTGTCTTTCACTACAGAGAAAGAAAGATACAGCATGAGGATCTTTCTAGATTTACAGGTCTTCATCTGCAATAGCACTATGACATCGCTTTATTTCACTACTTCGTTACCTCTAAATAATGTTGTCTTCACTAAAAGAACAGTAGATGTTGTAAATCAAACCCAACCATTAGCTACCAGTGCCACTAGCAGCAGCTTGAAAAGTTCTGGAGATTAAAGCCCACCCTTGCACTACTTATCCCGCACTTAACCCTGTAAGCAGCATGGATTTCAGAGATACGCATTGTGAACAAAGTCCATCAGGAAACTGAGTATTGGCTGAAATATTGGCTCAAGATTTGGGGATCATAAACTTCACATACAAGCTCAGTCATAGCTATGGAAACTTTTATTTACGTAAATACAGAGATCCTTAAACTCTTCAGCTAGTTTCTGAAATATCTGTGGATAACTTAAAATTCTCAAAATGAAGAAATGAAGTTTTTCTCAAGGCTCAATTCTACCATGAACTTTCTCCTCCCCAAAACACAGAATATTCAGTCTGTAGGAAAACACAAAATTGCTTTTTTTTTTTTAGTATGTTACTACTCCACAAACAAAGGAAAAAACCTTTAGAACTTCACCTCTTTCCTCTCAAGATGAAAATATTTCATCTTGGTTCAGACACTGACCTGAAGTAATAAAGTTCTAAGTTAAAATTTGCAATGAACAATCAGATTATGAATGTTTGAACTATCTTAGACATAGCTTTTGTAAACATACTTTGAAGAAAAAAATTGAGCTCTTTTTCAGTTGAAAATTTAGGTCAAAGAAACTACATTCAAGAGCCAAATTAAGAAATTGAAAAGCAAAGGTAACTTTGCAACAAAATCCATGCGGCTAGCATCATAGACTCAAACAACTTCATCAAGCAAGATTAAGAATAGGAAAGGATAACTATGCATAACAATTATAAAGATACTAGGATATTTACATATATATGAGTGTATATCTAATTTTTTTCCCCAAACTTTGACAACAAACTCTGAATCATAAAAACTCTGAATAATATTATAGCAGAATAAAATTATCACAAAGTTGCATATATAATCCTGTGGTTTAGCTATGCCTATTCATTGTGCGGCAGAAGACTTCCTTAAGTGTAGAACAATGTTTCCAACAGTTCAAAGATATAAGAATTGAACAGTTTCCTGAAGTAAACAGATGCTATGATGAGATCAGTGCAGAACAGATAGCTCTCACTAGCAAAAGAACGACAAACTCGAAGAATCATTGTACCTAAACCATGACTGAACAGTTTATATTTCAAAGAATGATCTCAACATCTCATCAAAAGCTGATTATTCCGTTAAATAATAACAGAAATGAAGCACTGTGTAGTCCACCAAATTCTGTAGTTCACTGGAGTTGCTGCAAATTAAAAGGTTCTTAGTTCTTCATAGCTGTCACTGAGTCACGTTATTTTTAAAAAGCTGCTTTGAAAGTTCCTTCCATGTTTTAAAAAGAACATTTAAGTTTCCTGATAAAACTCTTACTTACTTTCACCTTCTTGCATCATCTTCAAAAGCTGTGCATTTCTTGCTTTTACTTCTTTGTACTTTGCCTGTGTTAAAGAGATTGAATTATTACGTGTATACTCTGCTAAAAAAAGTATTCTAGAAACTAAGCGTGACTTACAAGTTTAAAATGATGACTTCTGCAGAGAATCTAATCATAGCATCATTTAGGTTGGAAAAGACCTTTAAGATCATCTATGTCTTAATTAAGCCACAGCCAAAATAAGGAATAAACAACAGGAGAAGTGGATTAATAACCAAGAGTCAAGAAAAAAAAGGCAAGCACAAGGCTTAGAGCAAGTTAAAATAAGAAAGTTATGTCAATGTATTGATAGTGCAGGAACCACTGTTCACATCTGTATGACTTATATAAGCCTGCTGTGGTTTCTGCCTTGAAAAATTACCATTATAATGCCTTGTCTAGATACCAAGAAAATATAAATAGTATCACCATATTACTTGGGAAGTATGACAAGACCCCACTGCTCTACAAATTGTTTTATTCAGCAGTTATTATGTTACAGTTTCCTTTCAACTCTTTACAGTTTACTACTCAAGAACCCATTTTTACTGTTTTTTCCAATCTATCCAATATCACCACACTTCTTCATAAGTCAGTCTTCTCCTTAATTTGCCATCAATGTCAGTTCTAGCCATGTATCTTAGCTGTAAACTTCTTTTTCCTGTCACAAGTCTCTTCATACAGTTTGTTCTTGTAAGCTTGAAAAAAGTTTAATTTCAGACACACTTTTTTTGTAACAAAGCAGCTGCTATCTTCCACTTCCACTATCACACCATTCTGTGAGGATAATTTACCTACATTTAAGCCAGACCTTTCACGGCCGCCTAAGACTGTATTAAGGTCTCTGGACAAGTTCATAAAATTAAACAGCTGTATCATCGTCCACCACCTCACCGGTATCCTTATGCATCATGTTTGTTCTGTTACATGTGATCAAGTGCGGATGGTGGTAAATATGAATGGTTTTATACTGTAAAATTTCACCTGGGGATTCCAACTTTAGTGCACAGTGAAAACAGCTGTTAACAAAGTTCATGTCTTTATTACTATAAGAAATTTGAAGCATCAGAAAACTCCCACTCTGTCAACCTGCTCAGTCTACCTGAAGCAATCATTTAATATAATTCTATGCTGCTTTACTGTATTTTGTTACAACGCCAGTTCCTCATGCGAATTTTGCCCTTTTTGCTCTAGATACGATCCAGGCAATGCTAACATGGACTGAAAAGAGGGAGACAGAGACATTTTCCCTAGCTACTCTGGTATACAGCGATACCATGTAATTATTAATGAGCAAATCTTTTTTTCCTGGTGTGTTTTGGCACATGGCAAATCTGTTTTCCAGTTTCACTTTTATGTAATAGGAAAAGCTACAACAAAATACAGCACTCCATTCTTGTTACACTGCAGCTTTAAAGGAACTTCTCTTAAACCTGACAAAATATTCTTTGATTTCTTTAACCACTTCAAGTATTGTTGGGACTTTTTGTAGATGCAGTCCAATATTCTTAAACGCAAGAAAAGCTGAGTATAATTTAAAAAATATATAGGTTTGAAAAGACCCAAGAAAGTCCAATTTCCTCCTCAAAGCAGAGCTAATTTCCAAGGCAGATCAGATTGCTCAAGATATTGCCTAGTCTTAGATTACATTTTATTTTTTTTTTCACCATGAAAACAGCAATACTAGAAAACAAGTAGTGACCGATATGCCAGATACAAAGTCTGTTTCTAGATGGTTTGTCTTGATTCTGTGATTCTGTTGTTCTTTTGATTATTTTTAGATATTTAACTTACTTACCAAGAAAGACCGCTTCATGTGGTACTGAAGGAATGGTTTGCTCTGTAAATACGTAATCTATGGCCAGTCTAAAGCACCTCTACAGATTGGTCACATTTCAATAAATGCTTTGTTTCAAATGTATAATAATGTTAAATTTTGTCTACTGTTTGAAGGTATTATCAGCTACATACCTCCCACTGAGTTATTATATTTTTCAGTTTCTCAATTTCTGCATCTTTCTTTTCAAGCTCAAGCTTTAGTCGTTCTGTTTTTCCATCTTTCAAAACACTCTCCTATAAGCAAGAAAACATCACTTCTTAATAGTTTAGTTACATGAATTCGATTCTTGGGAAAGGCAAGTTATTTGTTTGTTAGAGAAGAGAATTTTTGATCAAAACTAAAGAGGTATACGTGAGTAGATACCAAAAGGATAAGAAACACAGTAATATATATTGGCATTTTCTGTGGAGCAAAACCAATTTCAATCACAAGTGTTTCATGTGAAGAAAAAATAAGTAATTTAAATACCTCTTCAGATAGATAAAAATATTACAGTGTTGTGGGTTTTTTAATTCTTTAAGATTCTCATGCTTTTTGATTTGTGTTTTCTTCTACTTGGGTGCTCCCTTCTGATCATTTAATAAACTTCATTAGGCAAACTTCTTCACTTCAGAATGACTGCTCTTTTACATGCCTGGTTGTGTTCATGAGATGTGCAGTTATCTGTTTCACCGTGATCAGTGAGCTGGACTCTCCTTCTCTCTCTTTCAAGTATTCTGTGAACATCATCTTCCAGCCTGTTGAAAAATCCTCCGTCATGCAACGAAGACTGGGAAGAGCTCAGATCCTGTCAAAAATAAGTACTATAATATATCTTCCTTTACATATAAGTTAATATTGAGCTAGAAATCAATGTGTTTAAAAACTAGCTTAAGTCATGGAAAAGCATTACATCTAGATATTGTTTTATGTTGTACACCCTGAGAATACTGTTACTTCCACCTAGACAACATGATATCAACTGAAGAGTCTAGGAATTAATTAACAATTAACATTTAGCTGATGATGAGGCTACACAAAAGCATGAGGTTGGAATTTAATAATTTTGCACTGTGACTACACTAACTTATGTTTTATTTCACTATTAACTATTCTTCCTTCTAAGAGTTCTAATATTTGTGGACTGAACCACAACATAGTAGCATCACAGTACTTCATCTAATTCACTTCTCTTTTTTGTACTACAATTTGTATTCTTAACATGTTTTTAAATCTGCAAGTTGCATCAAAGATTATCTGAAAAATAAAGAAGCAAGAAGTAGTTCTAAGAAAGCCAATACTAAGTTCTCAAGACACAAGAACTGCAGACAAACTTCTCTATTAAATCTGCACCTGTAAAAATTTTCCAAATGAAAATCAGTCAGTTTCAGAATGTATAATTGATTGTAATTACAGAAGGTGCCAAAATAATTACCTTCTAAACATAAAAGGGGTTTTTTTATTAAACTAGGTCGAATAAGACTTACCTCATGTTTTTTAGCAACGTTATCTGAAAAGAATAGAAAAAAATGACATCAAGTTACTTAAATCTTGTACAGCTGGCTATTGAATCAAGACACTTGAAAAGTGGCAGGGGGAAACCCATCTATTGGAGTTCTCCAACATTAACTCTCATCTCAAAGTCACAATAAAATAAAGTCATTACTGAAGCACTAGAAGATTATAAACTATGTTTTACAGCAATCCCTGTATTTGCATCTTCTCCCAGATCTTTCAGACTGCTTAATCAGAAGCAGCGTACCATATTTATTTGTTTCAGTTGAAGTGGAAGGCAATGTCTTTGGTACAGACACATATGCAATTTGTCCGTTTGTTTCAAGTGTATTTAGGCTTTTATGGCACGTATCTCACTGTATACCTGAATGCCTTCCATGCCTTCCAGATTGCTGTGCTTTCAATCTTTTTCCTGTATTCAGATTCTTTGGAAATAATATCTTTAATAAATATTGTAGATTTAGATAAAAATATCCTTAAAAGAAAAACCTTAGAAACCAAATTACTTTCTTCCTTTTCTAGCATCTACCTTTATTTCTTCACCAAAATTCAGAATCTCTGCTCTATAGACACAGATGAAGGAATTTTAAACATACAAATAATGCATATAATGAGCATTAAAAGTTATTTCAATATTTAATCATCTTAATAAAAGCCAGTATCATGAAGAAAGGCAATGATTTACTATTACTCAGGAAAACAAGAGAAACACAGTCACCTGAGGACTGCAAACATAGTAAAACAAAAAAACCCACTTAGATTTTAAAAAAAGGTCACATTAAGAGTGTTTGAGTCCACCACCCACCCCAGGGATACTACATGAAATGGGGTTTTCCTTAACCTCTTCTTTTTCCCCTGCTAATCTAACTAGCCCATTACTATGTAATGAACACTTAGCTTTTAGACTCGGTAGGACACGCTAACTGCAACTCAAATAGTGTTTGTTTAAACACAGTACTAATAAACAGAGACAGAAGGGCATTTTGCTGTTAGCGCACACACACTATGAAAATTCCAAGTTGAACAGCTCATATGGTATGATAAGGCATACCTATATTACTGTCTGACTGAAAGTCTTTCAGAGACACAGTGAGAGGTTTGTCTTTTCCTTGCTGGTTCTTTTTCTCTTTCTTATTCACAGACTTTGACTGAGGTGAAGTATTTTCAACGTTTTCATATTCCTAGAAGAATAAAGTCCCACTGGTATAACTTTCTTCAATACCCAATTAGTTTTTCCTGAAGCTTTTTAAAGGAAAAAAAAATAGTGATAATGTACTAAAGGAGATTTTAGCCTGAAAAGTAATTTGCAGGCTTCAGATTGGTTTAAAGAGTGCAAGACATATCAGCATTTAAGCATTGATTCTGTTCTCTGAAGTAAAGCATTGCTTTTCACTGAATAGCAAATGAACTATCAGCCTAATACTTCCTCAATCACCTACATCAAATTTTATCCAGAAACCAAAACTGAGAATATACGGTACTCAAATAGAGGAAGGCAGAGTGCTACAAAATGCAGGTTAGTACTTTCTTTAAAAAACAGAGGTCTACCTTCTTTTTATTCTCAAAATATGCTTATTCAGTAGTAGTCTAGAGAGCTATTAGTGTGCAGCAATGCTCTACCAATTGACCTTTACTCCTGTTGAAATCAGCCAGCCTGGCACATGATAGCCATTTGAACGAGAGTCCCACCTCACCACATATCTACATTAACATTCTTAGCAAATTATCAGTGTCTGTTGTTAAAAATAATCTTAAACGTTAAATAATCTTAAGAAAAAAAAATTGTCATATAGAAAGCAAAGATGGAAATGGAGTGCTTTTCTTTCCATAGAAACAAGATTTGTTCAGTGTACTCATGTACCGTATATTTTGAGTATATAGTATATCTTTTAAATTATTCAGAGGTAATTCTTAAAAAGTCTACAAATGATGCTATGCTACTATGCCTGAAGAATGTCTTCACTTTAAAAGAACTTTATAATATATATTAAAAATTTATCCTTGGTTTTCAAGAACTATGGTACTCTCCCCCTCAAAAAAATAAAGGATTGTATAGAGATACTTGCACAAAAGTGCATATGCAATTTTTATTTCTTCATAATGTAAGATGATATTTAAATTTACATATTTTCATAACATTTCATGGGTCCTGATTTATTGCAAATAAGAAGCAACTTCCTGTTAGAAAAAAAAAATAATCTAAGCATACTTTTCAGAACAATTCTTCAGTATTCCATAAGAACTGCTCAGAAAAAAAGCATCCTGACCAGCTAAGAAAATGTATACAGCTTATTAGAACTAAATTTTAACACTCGAAACAGAGAAACGGTGTTAGCAAAAATGCAAATGATTCAACCATAACTAACATTTTAAGGCCTAAGGAGAAGTCAGTGCTTTGATTCTCTTACTCTTCAAGTGTGCTGGATTTTTCCTGAGAAAGGTCAGGACCTCTTGTACTCTTTAAAAAAAATTCAGCACATTTATATGGCAGAATATTGAAAAAGTAAAACTAATTTTTCACCTTTACACGCCAACTTAAAACCAACCAACCAATACCATTATATATGCTTTCTTTCAAATCCAGTATTTCTCTGAACTCTTAATCATCTGAAAAGTGTAAGCAAACAATTGACATTATGAAAACAGTAGTTTAAGGAGGTTTTTTCTTTATTTTTAAAACTCAAGCCTCAAACTTCTACAGCTTTTACAGTAGGATAAATCCTACAAATACCTTTTTGTGCTCTTCATATTCCAGTTTGCTTAGCAGCAATGCTTTTTCAAGATCAGCTTCAAACATTTCAGATGTCAGCTGAAGAAACAAAATTAATATATTTAATGTGACTAGGTTGTTAAAAAAAAAGCACATAAAACCACTAAGACCACACTAAAATTTCAGTTTCAATACATGTATGACTTCAATTGCCAAAAAGCTAAGCTTCACTCATGTGACATACGGCATTATTAACTGCTAATATACCTTTTGTACCATAAGTAATAAAGTATTTTGCTTCTGGAAACTTTGGATGGGTGTAAGCGTACAAAAAGCTGTGCAAATCTTTATGTAATACACTTACCATCTTGACGATTTGGTTACATTAGATTTTTTACTTTTAGTTTGAAACATGAAAACCAGAGGATGTTACAGTATGAAAACGGTCAGTGTAGACTACCAGAAAGTCTAAGTGCTTATCCATTGCATAGAAAAGATTAGGTTAAATGCACTTTATTTTTTCCTTAGAAGTAGAGCAGAACTAAGAAAACCTGAATTATTTCAAGATGTTTTCTCTTCCATTTCTGAGAAAAGGAAGTATGTAAGTCTTCTTGAGATATGCAAAGAAAACTTGAAGCTTTCTAGGTGTCAGCTATTAACAAAAAGAACTAGGAGCAACACAACAGGAATGAAGGAAAAAATCTCTTTTTTCTTGTTTTATAGGAAAATAGAACATTTCAGGAAGTCCAGCTGCTGGTGCACAGGAGGCTGAAGGATTGAACTGAGAAGACCAGTACCAGCAACAGTTCAATGGAGCCAAAATAAGATATTTACCTAGACGCTATAATCCAGGTAGATAGTGGATAACCTAAATGTAAAGCTAATAACCTATGTTCCTGTTTACAGCAAAGTTAACCAAGATTAAGTTGTTCTGAATGCAAAACTCTATTTCTTTGAGGTCTGCTGTCTTAAGGAATCACTACAATCCCCTGTGTGATATGCTCCCAAATGGAAGCCTTATTCATCATAGCTCTCTCCTTCTCATGCCCTTAACTGAAATACTAATTTGTAAAAATAATTACTCCAACCGTCATTTTCTTGTTCTTTGAATTTCAAATTGAGGTCCTTTTCATTCATTCCAGAATAAACTACAATAGCTGTTAGAGTAAATAAATTACTTGTGTGGTCTTAATGTACTTTGCTCCAACTGGGCTGTGTGACGTACACTAGCTTTTTTGTCTATAGGACCATGTTCTGAAAAAAGCCTTACGAGTTCTCATATGCTTTACATACACTTAAAATTGATCTATTACATGCTGTAAAAGCACACACATTCTTCCTAATTGTTTGTTCAACAATTCGTATGATCAGTCTCGCTTAAAAGAAAACCAAAAAGTGGCTTCTAGTTTTTACCACAGTAAACCAGCCCTTTTTGAGCAGTTATTTGAAACACAGTAAAATAGTGCTCTCAGCACAAATTGCTACAGGATTTCACATACACTTTGGGGTGCTGTCCTTCCTAGTTTTGCCTTAGGTTTGTGATTCAAGCTTAGCATCAACTGATAGCACTGGGCCTCACTGGCAAGGTTTTTGTAGCAGGGGAGGTGAGGAAGAGCCACGGACCCCTGTGGCAGCCAGGCTGAAGGCACCCCGGAAGCCCAAAGGGCTGCAGGCATGGGTGGCCAGCGGCAGGGCAGGAGTGGGGCAGCCACCCAAGCAGCAGCTGACAGGGATGGCATTCACCAGAGCGCTGCCAGTGGTGGGGCCCCTGCAAAGGGACTCCCATCTCCTGCACTGCCTGTGACCTGCAACGAGGGGACTGGAGAACAGAGGGGAAGGAAAGGTTCTGCAGCAGCCAGACATGGGTTTTTTTCTTAAGTGTTTGTTTTCTTTCCGTTTCAGTAGAGGTTTGATAACTGACAATAAATTAAATTGACTGAAATACCCGCAAAAATCAATGAACTGGTTTTGCCCACAACTGTTGAATTCAATCTGAGAATGAGAGTTATCTATCAAAGATTAGGCCTTGTTGTCTACTACACTGAAAAACTCAACACGAGCATGATGAAAAAGGAGAGAAAGGGGATTAAAAAAAGCAAACTACCAGAAAGAGAACAATTAACACACAAAAATAAACTCACAAGAAAGATGAACTTATGATTTTTACCTTTGTGTGTCTGAAAGTGCTAGTTTAGCACACAAGCTCTTAAGTAATTACAAGAATTAATACTAACACAGAGTTATAATAACTATTAAACAACAGTACAAAAATTGCATTTTGTGATCTCTAGTACAACAATAACCATATCAAAACTTACTTACCTAGCAGTCATTCGATGCAGGGCAAGACTAGGTATTTGAAGGTGGCTATACAGAGGTTGCTACTTCTAAGCAGCAGTGGAGTGGAGAGCTTTAGACCTGAATATTCTCAAAGCCAGTCATCTCCCTCCCAGCTGTCTCAGGAGAGATAGCTATAGACTCACTACCACTTAAACCTATCCAAAAATCTAGGAGCCACAGGCTCCCTTGCGTAGGTACAACCAATAGGCAAGCTCTGGAGTACACCTAATAGTTGTAAGAAACTGAGATCCCTGTGCAAAGCTCTTACAGTGACTCTCTTAAAAGCTTTGCTGAAAAAAAGACCATACTGAAGAAAGACCATGCTATTTACATAGTAGCTCCAGAGTTAAGACAAATGTTGACAGTCCTTTAAAAGGAAAGTGCCTGGCAGTATGGTAATTTGGAGGGTAAAGACAAAAAGAGGAAGGCTTCATGAACTGGGAGATGCTCTTTGTGGAGCTGACCTCTGTGGAAGCAGGGAGAAACTGCTTCTCACACAGTGATGAATATCACTGTCCCTTGCAGTATATAATTTAAAATTTACCTCTTCATTATCAATATTGTATAACTAGACAATGGAAACTATGGAACTGAGAGGCTAGGCTTTCATGCCTTCTGCATCTCAAGAATTCAGACTCACGTCTCTCCTCTCAGATAAGCATGTGCCAGTTGCAGCTTGAATCTTCGTGCCAGTCAATTTCTCCAACTCAGAGGAGATGTTTTTATTAAACCTTAAGATACCGTCAGCATGACTTAATGAAAACACAATACAGGAACAGCAGAACTAAAAAGTACCAACTGACATTTGATGCAAGCTTGACTAAACAAGGTATTCTGTCACACAAAACTTTCAAAAAAAATGTCATAGATGTGGAATAACGCCATTTTGTTTGGGAATTCTGCATTCTAACGTCTGCTGAACCCACTTTGCAGCTGGCCTCCTGTCTTTCCTGTAACAAAAAAATCAGACTTTTCATAAGCTTCCAACACTTCTCCTCTTCATCATAAAAGAATACCTTACCTCTTCCTACTACAGGGACCTCCTGTAAGTTTTAACTACCATCTCTTGCTAATTTCAAGAGTAGTGCTATTGCAGGCTTCAGGATAGTTTAACTGATTCTTCCTTTAACACGTACCACACTAACATAAGCATGTTAGTGCTTTTCCTTTACCTTTCTTCCGTGTAACTGCCTTTAATATAACAACTTGTTCTTAAAAGGTTATACAGAGACCATATCAAATTTATATTCCTGAACTGGTGGCAATGATACAATAAGCCAGTACATGAGCAACAGCTGATGAGGACTTTAGCATGCACCCTCTGTCAGGCTTCATTTTCCATCAGAATTCAAGATTCTATGGGCTGAGAGGAGCTGGAGCTTGCTGCTAAATGGCTAAGACTCTTGACCTGCATGCACACATGTACCATGCAACATCCCCCAGAAAAGTAAGGCAGCTTCAGTGGGATGGAACGGTGCAGACATAAATCAGGCTGGAGACATGCTTTTGGCACAGTCATAGGAAGGGGAAGAAAAGAGCTTGGAGCACTAACATCCCAAATTTTATTTCAAGTGATTTAACAGTTAAACTACACAGAAGTCAGAAAAGTGCCTGCCCCACCTCCTCTTGGGTTGTTTAGAGAATACAACTGAATGGGCCATGTTTTGAACAAGCATGAGAAAAGCGACCTGTGGCCCTCGGTAATGTATCAGCTCTGAGTCCCTGTGCTTGGGTCAACTAGACAGATCATTGCTTAGCAGATTTGCCTTTTCACACCTACTCCAAAGCAAACTTTTCTTCATTTATTACTATGCTCAAAGCATTGAGCCTCTAACACTTGTACCTTGTGTCTGTAACCAAATTTACCTTAAGACCACAATTCTTTAACCAGTTACCCACTGATTCTTCAAATTATAGTATTATAGATCATAACAAATAATAATTTAACAGGAGTGAAACAGACATGCTGTAACTCATTACTTTAAAAAGTAACATTGAATGCATAACCTGAAATGGAACTGTTATGACAATTTGGGCAACAAGATTACAGACAATAGAACAAGTTATTACTGAAAGTGTTGGTGATAATATTGAATAGAAATAATAAAGCATAGTTGTGCATATTGAAGGCCTATGGTTCTTTGTGTGACACTGGCTTTACTTCCTAATTTTATTTCAAGGTCACAAGTCTGTTAGTGCCTTGTTAGTAAGCTACTGCAAAAAATCAGCGGGAACTCACAGGCTTTTAGTAATTCTCCTTAAGAGCCTAAAAATGCATATACTGCAATTAAACTAAATTCTTCAGCATTTTCCAATGCTGAATATAAATTCCTCTTAGCGTACTCCAGTATTCACAGTCCAACCATACGGTGTGCAACAGCAGTATGTGCTGGCTCTAAAGTATATTTGATAGAAGATGTGGCCTGAATTTCCACTGAAATCTTTCCTTCTATGTGGCAGTATTTTGTTGCTTCCTTTCCAACCATCTCTCTTTATCCATGAGACTAAACTTCAAGGAGTAACATATTTCAGAAAAGCCAAAGATAGCTAAATACAGTAAGCTGCACCTGCTCATCTCTTTGTCTCCACTCCTGCCAATTTTCTTCCTGAGAGTCCTTCTGCACTGCAGCGTGCAGTTTTTGTTCATGCTGAGATAGACAGCCTCCATGTGAGGATTTCTGGGGAATCTTTTTAAAAGCAAGGTTTCTGAGCTGAAAAACAGTTATTTTTAACATTAATTAAAATGTTGACAAGTATACAGTAACAGTCTTAATTAACTAACAAAGGCATTCAGAGACATGCAAATAGACATGCATGTGCTTTACTTTACTCTGTAGTTTCAGACACATTTGTGTTTAATCATGTATGGTACATATCATAGTGTAAAATTATGGAAAGCTGTAGGTCAGAAACTCCACAGCCACATAACTTTAAACAATTAAAAAGTAAATGTATTTTGCCATCTGAAAGTACTTTTAAGAATCCTGAAGGGATAACTGTGTCCACCAGATATCATGCTGGATCAGGTATTACAGTGTGCTCACACCTGACCCAAATTAAATACAGTGCCAAAGAAGAGGTGGATTACACAGATTTGGCACTGGCAAACAGAGGAACTAGAGGTTCAAGCAGAAAAAGAACAATGTAGACAGTCCTCATACAGTTTGCCAACAATCTAAAGTTGGTCACATTTTAAGAACCTGCAATAAGAATTATTTTTAATCACTGCACCGTACGGCTACAACGCTGCCATCTTAAAAATACGTTACATAAATACAAAATTTGATACTGAACAAATAATCTGCAAATTTAGCAGCTCAAAGACATTTACTGCTCAAGCTTAAACACTAACTCACACTCCGGTCCTTACTTGGAGAGAAAATAAAAGCCGCCAATACAATCTACTATCAATTTAGAGACAGGGATTTCCTTAACATAAAGGCTTCTGGAAGGGAGAAAGAAGATATTATCACACGAAAGATGAAACAGAGACAAAGCACAGCAACAGTGTACTCCTTAATGTGCGTTTATCAAGTGTCATGACTTCTTCTTAAAATGGCCGTTCACCTTAACTTAAAGTTACTTAAAATCGAGTAATAATGCAGATGCTTCAGAATTCGTTTTTTCCTTCCCCTCCAAACAGTCCCTTGTCATACTGCCTTTTTCTTCACCATCGTCTCTCTTGCTGCCTGCACCAGCACTACAACCCCTGCTTCCTTCTTCAGATTACAGCGCTGGCAAGAATACTGGTGCAGACTATTCTGACTTACAATTTCACTAGAATATAGCCATAGACATAGTACAGGCTGGGGTGAAGAAGATGAGTCAGCCCTTACTTGCCTCTCTGCCATCACAAGAATAAATATCATTTGCATGCATATGAATTTCTGTAGATACATGTAATGCATATGCATACACACAATTATTCTGATGACATCAAAAGTTTTGATGGTGCTAAGACAGACATAAAGAAACGTCAGGGTATGCTTATTTCCATTATTATGGAAACTTAATCTTCAATATAAAAAGAATAGCATTAAAGCTGAAAAAAATCATTTTACTTAGCGTTACTGCAACTACTAAAATTTCAAAGATTTTAAGTTTAATAGATACTAAAAGAAAAAAATACAGGTTTAGAGGTTTTGTTTGTTTTTCATACTAAAGTGGATAAGAGATGTGTACAGTTTTAGGCAGAGAGATTATCTCAGATCAGTTAATAGACACAGCAATCTAGAATTCCAGTTCCCAGAATCTTGGAACAATTCTTTCAGTCTTAATTCTTAATTTCCGTTTCATCAGAGGCTTAAGAATCCCAATGTCTGAAAAGCACAACTTTTCTTCACTCTGCCCCCAATTCACAGAAGAAAAACCCAAACAAACACCAAAAAAAAAAAACCAAGGGCTCTGGATTTAATAGATTAAGGGGCTGGAGCAATGGATAAATCTGAAAATTACAATTTAGGAAACCAGGTTTTAAAGCTTTTCAGACAGAGTAGGAAGGTCTCACTATCTCATCAAAAGAAAAACAAAAAAAAACAACTCGAAAGCACCTTGTAATTTTAACATGCTGGCTCTCCAAGCAGGCAGCTGGAACTGACTACCTACAAACCTCTGAAAACAAGTTGTTTCCTACCAATCAGCTTTTAGAAAGGTCATGCCCTTCATCAGAAATTAATTATTCAAGTGGTGTTGTCAAAAAAGTAAAACCTAGCAATTTATTCTTATTAAAAATTTTCAACTTGAATAGTAGGGAGTATTCTACTTTTATAGAACTAATTTTTAATAAAGCAAAAGAAAAAAGCAGTCTTTGTAAGTAGCATGTTTCGTAAAAAAAAAAACAATGACTTGTAAGGGACAGCAAAAATTATTTCTTAGATGACAACCTCACCCGCTACTGAAAATATAATCCCTTTACCTCATTGGCCTCACTCTGCTGCTGTTCTTTCTTTTTTCTCCTTTTATTTCTTTTTTTCTCATTTGTAGATGATCTTCCTCCTGAAGTTTGAGATTTATTGGCACCACGGCCACTTTTTCCTTTCCCAGGCTTCGAATCAGTATCACTTTCAACTTGTAGTAAAGCAAAACGAGATGCAGTAGTAGGAACTGAACTGATTATGGTAGGTTCCATCGCCACATCTGAAATCTGAAATTCTACGAAGCTGTCTTTCTTTCGGGAATTATTAAGCTCCCCTAGGAAAGTAGCACAGAAACGAGAATGAAAACAGTGTTTGACCAATCAATAATTCATCTCTCTTAGCTGCAGGATTAGTATATATAAAAAAAAAAAAATCCGTCCTATTTCTTTATATTTGTGCTAAGTTGGATTATTTTAAGTATTCGAACAAGAACTACAATTTTTTGTAGCTATTTTAGGCTAATACATTTGTTCCTGAGAGATTATGTTTGATGGAAAAAACAAGTAGGTGGCTCTGAAAGAAGCTGGGCTTCATAATCTGGTGGGCAAAAAAAAAAAAAAAGCAGGAATAGTGTAGTGTTCCAAAACTGTTTCAGATGCCATCCCTGGAGCCTGACAAATGTAGTTTCAGAAAGAAAGCAAGTAAATATTACACATGTGCAGGCTCCAGTTTTGGGTAAGCAGCCCTATTTCTTATTTTACAAGTAGTATCATTTTGTTCCCAAGCCACTAGAGCTTCAACAAGTAGTTTTCCTCACAGGAAGGCAAGCCCCACATTGAGGCTGGTACTATTCTCAAACATTAGGCACACCTGTTCTTACAGCACACCACAGAGGATGTGTTGGGGAGGCAGAACTGAGAAACACACTTTCGCCTTCTGCTGCCCCCTGTAGCTATAACCAATGCGTATATCCCCACGACACCATTCCAAAGTACAAATCATTTACCTAGTGTAAAAGTTAAATTTTTGTCATATTTGGCTAATTGCAATTTTTCCATGCAAAGTTTAGTGAATTAGGAGAAGACTGAAAACAATGTTACTTCATCGGTGATTATACACTTCATAGAAATTTCATAATCTAGCTATGTTGATTTACTATGATAGAGAGGTTTAGTGAAGTAATATATACTTTTTGAAAGCACTGTTTGAAAGGAATCCTCACAGTTTGGCACCTGTGACTATAAGAAGTTGCATGTCTGCATAGATGGTCTACAAACAGGCTGCCTGTTAACTACTACTACAGAAGAACATGAGACTCCACAGACATGTCAAGAGACAGCCTGGAATTTAGTGATAAAAAACAATCTCAAGGACAAACTTGAAAAGGTGCTCTAAAGATGCTCGGATGTATCAACACAAAGCAATGCTATGTTACCAATGCTATGGTAAATGGTCATCATTGTGACCATTAGCCAAAAGAATTATTAAAGAGGAGTATTGCATTTTATTTCTCAGAGGTGAAAGAGAATGAGCAAGAATAGAGACAGTATTAGCTTACAAGTTTACTGAAGACAAAGGTTACAGTGACCAGCATTCTTCTCATACAAAAGCTACCCTACTCTCTCCCAAAAAAAGGAAAATGAAGCTGATCATATGAAGTCCATTGTATCCCAAGAATAAAACAAACTTGACATCAAATTGTGAATCTGCCTGATGCTGAAGTTCAGACTCTCTGATCAGACACAACCACCATGTCCTGGTTTGAGCTAGAACAGAACCAATTCTCTGTTCAGGGATTTTATTTTTCAATTAAGTCTCTTCTAAGAAACTGCACTTTCTGAAATCAACAGCATTTCCAGACAGTGTCGAGTTCTAGCAGTGACAGCCCTTGGTTTATAGCTACCACCACCGAGCGGTGTGCAGAAAGGCTCTTGCTTTTACTTGCTCCT